GTAGGAGAGGTTAGGACATGGTCTATTTATAGGCTCCATTAGGGACCTTAAGGAGGTGCTAAATATGGGCTTATTCCATTAGGCCTAGGAATCCTAATTATAATCCAATACTAACTCAATGTAGGAAGGAGATCTCCTACTAATCCATCTCTTCTAGAAGACTCCTTAGTCTCCTAACACTAGAGAATATTCTAGTAGGAATACCTTTCCTAATTAAATTAATAATCATAGAATAGAATTAATTCCTAATTTAGGAAATCTAATTTTACTCTAATTAATAATATAATGTAGGAAATATATTTCCTACTAATCTCCATCTTCTAGAAGACTCCCAAGTCTCCTAATCCCAAGAGAAGATTATAGTAGGAATTTTATTCTCCTAATTAATTAATTAATTAATATGGAATAAAATTAATTCCTATTTAATGGTTAAATAATAAAACATCCCACTAGAGTAATATTATTGCTCTCCCCATTTAGCCACTATTTTACCAATGAAATTGAGCCTCCATGATTAAATAATATTAATCCGATTGATTGATTTACCTCCCTATGTTTAAGATATAACGTCTGTTGATTAATTAAATTACTGACAAAATAATTAGTCAACTTCTTATTCATTTCCAAAATTTGTACCACTCAGATCCTTAACCATTATGTCAGACAATCGTCCTCCTACAGGGTTTAACATAATGTACATTCCTGAGCTCATTTCAGGGATGTCATCAATCCAGCGCACTGGAATATAGTGACCATAAAAATTTATAATAGCACATCATATAATTATTCTTACTTACCAAAATACCTCGTATGTCATCCTAATAAAATAGGAATCACCTGGTAATTCAAATAAATAAGAAATAAAAATATATGACTATTTACATTATCTTACGGCTTAAGAGAACGCATCAATCACTGAAGGACGATGTTACAACAACGGTCAGTGAGTCTCATAACCTTTGCCTTCCGTGGTCCTGTTCAACACTTAACATAAGTGCTAGTGCAATTCTCCAGTCAAAGACCAACTGAATCAAGAATACACTACAGTCTTTTTCCAAGTGGGGTCTCACTGCCAGTCTAGACTGTGAACGAATGATTTAGTCTTATAAGGAACCGATAGGTGATCTTTATGTTCGAAACACTTCAAACCACCCTACCTCAATATAAGACATGGAGTATGTATTGCATAAATAAATAAACTGCAAACATATGTACTTTGACCGAAACATGATGACCAGATCAAAATGGAATTGATAGAATCTGCAAAACATAACTTTTATAGCATACCTCTAACAATAAGATCCTCCAGTATTTGGCCAACAACGAGAAACAAACCATGAACAATGAAGCCTCCATTAAGCGTCTCGAGATGCAAGTTGGTCAGTTGGCTATGCGAGTTGGGAGCATTGAGACAGAATTGAGCAAGGGGAAGCTACCGAGTCAGCCAGAGCATGCGAATGTGGTGACTGTGATTATGCCCGTAGAGGAGAAACAAGAGGAAGAGGGCCAGAAGGAGCAATGAAAACCATAAGAAACCCCAGTGATCCCGCTACCTAAGCCTACCTTACACAAATCCCAGTACCCATACAGACCGAGAATTCCTTTCCTGGGCCAATTTTTAGAAGAGAAGGACCGTAGGATGATTTGAGACCTGCATGCGATGTTGGCCAAGGCAAACGTGGACCTGTCTCCTCCCGATGTGTTAAACAAAGAACCGTCTTATGCACGATTTATCAAGGAAGTGGCAGCCAATAAGCAGAGGCTTGAGAGCAGTGAAGAGATGCACCTGTCTGAAGTGGCGAGTGTTCTCCATCATTACTTGCTAGCGAAAGAAAAAGACCCCGGAGGCTTCGTGATCACTCTGGCCTTCAGGAATGAAGAAGAGACCTCAGGTATGCTCGATCTAGGAGCGGGCATAAATCTCATGCCACTTTCAGTTTATCGTCGGCTCGGGCTTGGAG